TTTTTTTTGGTTTTTCTCCGGTACCGGGAACCGAACTCACGACCTTGCGCATGCCAGGCAGGCACTTTTGCCGCTGAGCTAAATCCCCAGCCCCCAAGCCTGGAAGATTTTAATCTTAGGTTTCTGGATTCTCAGGGGCATAAGGTGGGGTCCCCTGGCATTGCAGGGATTCCCTGGAGGAGGCAGGTGCTTCCAGAATAGGCCTGGCTGCCCAGCAGCGGCCTCTGCAGTGGGAGGTGGTGGCCTTGGCCGGTGCTGCAGGGACACCGCCCCCTTCCGAGAGGAAGCAGGGAGCACAGGAGGACTGGAGCCAAGTGCACTTCGCCTTCCTCCTGAGCGGAGCAAGGTGGCAAGTGAGCAATCCAGGCCTTCTCTGGCACCTCTACCCAAGCCTCCGCCACCGGAGGAAGCTCCACGGTGCGTGGGGACAATGGGGCATTGTGCAGCCAGCAGCCTCCCAGACAGGAAGCCAGGGCGTCATCTCCCTGAACAGGATTCCCTGACCTGCTCGTGTCTCTCCATCCTCACTTGGCTTTTCCTTCTCAGCCCTCGGGCTGACAGAGTGTGAGAGCAACTGTTTACTGGTTGAGCTCTGCCTCCTGCCCTGGAGTGTGCGGGACACAGGGATGATGACGGGGCTTGGCGAACTTGCCTGGTGTGTACACCAGTGTGTCGCATAGCAGGTCCTCCACTGGCATTTGCGGAATGAATGGGTTGGCATATAGGTTCAATGTGCATAGCTTCCACCTTCACCCCCATTTGACAGATGGACAAACTCAGGCTGCTATGGAGAAATGGGTTGTGGAGAATGTCAGGGAAGAGGTGGGACTTTGTGAGCCAAGCCCTGGAGCCTGAGCCCTCAAGGACACTTCTAGTCTCGGCTGCAGAAGCAAACAGAGCGATCAGGACCACCTGGGAAGCTGCTAGGTTCCAGCAGGCGAGAAAGAAGCAAAGGTGGCCGGGCCCAGAAAACAGCAGGGCCAGACAGGGGATAGATGGCGTGCTGCATGATGCGGGGCCTCCTTGCGGATTCCTTTAGTTGCTGCAGAGTGACCTTCGAGTGAGACGTTTGACCTCTCTGAGACTCACTGGGGTGATGACCGCAATAATGTGGGGTGATAGTACCAACGCTGCCTGCAGTCCGAGGCCTGCGAGTGTTATTGCTGGGTGAACCGCGGGAAAGTGTTGTTTTATCGCTGATCCAACAAGTCTAATATTGGCAATTTCCTGTGGCTCAAACTGATCACAGTTACTGTGGAAGACATTATCTACAGTTTAAAGCAAGATACACTTTAATAAAAAAAAGGCCATCAGGGTGCCCAGAAGGACACTGCAGAATCATGTAGGAAAGTACTTAGCAAGCTCTTAGCATGATGCTAAGATGCTATTTACAGGGATACATGGGGAATTCTCTTTGAAAGAAACCTTGGACCTTGGTCCTTGAAGTCATGAAAGATAAGGGTCTGGCCATCCAGAGAGAGAGCCCCCAAAAGAGGATAATACCCTTTCAAGTACAGAAACTGAGCTCTTACAAGCACCCCAGGTTTTAATCTCGTGAATAATCTCTCAGCCTAAGTATGCCCCATGAAATATCTGGGATATTCTTATCAGTTATTTGTTGTTCATCTAGAAATTCAAATTTAACTGAATAGGGTCTCATTTCAAACAAATTTCAAACAAATTCACAAGAAACTGATATGTGGACCCCGTGTCGAGTTACTCACTTGAAAAAGTACAAATGAGAGTCTAGGCCAGACAGATTGGATCCTTGGGTCTTTTCCCTGATGTCTTTCACTTGTAGCTGTGAAGGATTCTGGGAGGCAAGCAGGCCTTCGAAAGGCTGATGGGAAGTAGGAATCCGAGAAATACTACCCAGGAGATGGAAACACAGAGTGACTCCACCAGGCCCCAGAGGTGTCTGATGAATCATTTGTTTCGCGACAGAACCCACCGGAAATCACGGTCTGAGGGCTTGCGTCTCTCTTGGATGATGGTGCTGAATGTTGACGAATCTTTGTCCTCTGACCTCCCGCTTCTCCTCCTTTTTGCCTAGGTTTCCCTGTGCTTTCTCCTGTAGCCCTCTGCCCTGCAGCTTGCTGCTGGGAGAGAAAATTGGGCCTGGTGGCCAATGGCCTTACTTTGATGCTTGGGAGCTTACAGGGGTCCAGAGAGAAGCAGCAGGGCAAAGGGCAGGGGCTGGTGGGGGAACTCAGGGTCATAACCGCTGTGCACCCCCTCCCACCGCCCCATCTACTCTCAAGCACACTGACTGCGTGGGAAAGGCACACACCAAACCCATGGCCATCTAGCGCTGGGTTGTCCTCGACCTTCATTCTGTCCTTTAACCTTGGCAGCCCTGGTCTGGATCCGATGTGCTGTGGAATGGAAAAGGCAAGGGAGCTGCTGTGGCCCCTGCGATGTCCCTGGCGACTCTGGGCCTGGGACGTGAATCGGAAGCAGAACGGGGCCAGAGGTTGGCAGTGGGATGGGGGCGCTCCTTTCCTTCCGGTGCTAGCTGGTTCCTTCCCATATCCAGGTGGGCCTGGGAGTCTGCAGCATGGGCACTGTCCCAATAAGATGGCAGCTAGTGAGCAGGATGGCCCAGTGGCCTGAGCACCCAGTGTCATGACCAAGGGACAGCAGGGCCGGCCCCAGCATGTCCACGGGGCAGAGGTCCCTGCCGTGTGCAGACAGGGATAAGAAGGCACACAGGATGAGTGATGAAAGCAGAGGACATGTGGCCCTCCAGGCCTGGGGATGCTCGATCAGTACCAGCAGGGACCATTCTCCTTACCATCATCACTACGTGGACATGCGAGTTCAGCACTTTCCATGCCTGTGCTCCGTTCACCCCGGAGATGACCTGTGGAGCACTCCTGCTTCATCTCTGTGAAAAACTGCAGGTCAAAGGGGCCAAGGGACCTGCTCGGAGTCGAGTAGCCAGGGAGTGGTGAAGACGGGATCTGAACCAGGTACCACCTTCCCCGTGGGCAAGTGGCTGCCGCGTGGGGTGCCCACCAGAGTGAGTGTCCCACCCCAGCCTGCATGAGGGAAGGATGGGCATGCACAGGGCATGCGGAGCTGAGGGGAGACCCGCCCCTCACTCCCAGCCCCCCACCTCCACCCAAACAAGACACTGTCTCTGGGGTGGCACCAAAGACCTTGTGCTGTGAACCGTATGGAAAATGAGGCAGGAGGATCGCAAGTTCGAGGCCAGCCTTGTATATTTAGCAAGACCCTACTCAGTTAAATTTGAAGCTCTAGATGAACAACAAATAACTGATAAGACTATCCCAGATATTTCATGGGGCATACTTAGCCTGAGAGATTATTCACTATTTGTCTGAAGTTCAGATTTCACCAGGTGCTCTGCGTTTAGCCTGGCTGTCCTTTCCCCAGTTGATACGGATGCCCAAGGGAGGAGAATCTGCCAGGGGTGGTGCCTCCCTTTCGGAGCCACATTGGGCAGGTTCTGATAGAGCCACCAGCTGTATGCCACCTGGTACAAGTGAGATCACAGGTGAAGCCCCACCTCATGGGAGACAAATGTCAGCTTGCACAGGTGTGGAGTCCAAGGCCCGGCATGGGGATGCTTGTGGAGGGGGCTGGGGGCCAGCTGAAACCCCAGGCACAGCCTGGGCACAGCCTGCCTTTCCCGTAGGAAAGGCCCCAGACACAAACTGCCCCAGACACAAACACCTGGCATCTCCCAAGCAAGCAAGAAATGGCCTGCCCTGCCCTACTGGGGCCACTTCCCATCCAAGCGGCCAGATGCCAGGCAGGGCCAGGGAGCGGGGCTGTGGGCCAGACACCTTCTCAGGGCAGTGGGCTGTTATCTCTGCAGCCTGGAGCCCGCCCTGTTTCTGGGAAGGGGAACACACACACGCACACACGCACACACACACACACACACACACACACACACTCCAGCCCTCTGGCTGTTTCATTTCAAAGAAACCTCAGGTTTGGGTGGAATCTAATTAAACATCTCTGCAGACATATCTTGCATGAAATGTAATTCTCCAGAAGCTCAGCTCATCCCTGACCATGTGCTGAGGGTCAGCGACTCCGCTGGGACCTGGGGACGTGGGTGCTGGGGTTGCAAGTGGCCCCCTTAGTGACTGACAGCGGACAATATGAGACAGGCTCCCTCAGCTGCTCCTCAACTCATCCAGATGCCTCCTTGAGACCAAGGGGGTCTGGACTCACCTCTCCCAAGCTCTGAGAGGCAGCACTGTGCTCCCCCTGCTCCCCCTGACCCGCTGTAAGTCCTTGCCAAGCTGGGCTTATTGTTTCTTTCTAGGATCGCTGTGCGATTCTGTGAACCCAGTGCCTGGGCATCTTGGATGCTCCCTGAGTCCCAGAGCTATTCTGATCACTCCCTTGTCCTTCTGGTGTGGCTCTGTGTCTACTTCCTTTCCAGGAAGCCCCAGGACGGCAGAGACTTCATCCTTCTGAAGAGGAATCAGGAGTATTTAGCATCTGGAGCAGCTGGGGCTGGAGGAAGCTACTCGGCAAATATGTGAATGCTGGGATGAAGGCAGAGGAGCTGCAGCTGGTGTCATGGAGCTAAATGGCGGTGAGTGGTAGACGGCCTAGAGGGATGAACAACACGTGTCCAAGAGTGTTTTCTATGAGGTCACCTCCTCCACCATGAGGTCACCTCCTCCACCATGAGGTTACCACTCCCAGTTTCCTCAGGGAAACTGAGGCTCAAAGTCCCCAGGCAGCTGAAAGGCATTGAGAAAATGAAACTGCCAACACAGTCACCAGCTATCAAGATGGTTCCCAAAGAACCCCTTCTTTGTTCCTTCCTGGCCTTCTGCAATTGTTCGGGGCTAACCTGTAAGTAGGTGTGTGCAGAAATGACCCTGTGGAAGTGCCCAGGTGGGTGGTAAGAGAGATTCTAGATTCTTCTCAGTTTTCTCTCAGATCACTTCCTCATGGGGGGTGGCAGCCATATTGTCAGGCCCCTCAGGTGGAGCCCTGGGAGGAACCGAAGCCTCCTGCCAACAGCCAGCCCCAGAGGAACACGGCATCTTGGAGACAGAGTCTCAGACAGCAGAAGCAGCCCTGTCTGGGACCTCGACTGCTATCTCTTGAGAGACACCACAGCAGTAAGCTCAGCTCAGCAGCTTCTGAATGCATGGTCCACAGAAACTGTGTGAGATGAATGTGTATCCTTTTAATTGCTAAGTTTGGGAGCAATTTATTATGTGACAATAGATAATTAATACTACAACCCACAATTGGGAGGAAATGATTGCCAGACACATACCTCATAGCACGAATGTCCAGAATAGATAAGGAGCCTCACAACACAGTAATCAAAAAACAGACAATTCAAGAAAATGAGCAAAAGATTTGAACCAGCGTCTCACAAAAGATATATGGATAGACAATAAACACACGCTTAACACCATTAGTCATTTGAGAAATCCAAATTAAAACCATATTAAGATATATCTACATGCCTATTAGAATAGAAAAATAATTTAAATCTGATGACGCAGAGTGCCAGCAAAGATATAGACCAACCAGAACTCTCATTTATTGCAGGTGGGAATGTAAAATGGTGCAACACTTTGGAAAAACAATTTGGTAGTGTCTTATAGACTGACTTGTCCAATGACTCAGCATTCCCACTTACAGATACTTACCCAAGAGAAATGACAATTCTGTTCACACATAAAACTTGCATGTGTAATTGTCCAGTTTAGAAACAAACCAAATGTATCTCAGCAAACTGTGGTATATCCTGACAGTCAATACCACTCATCATTAAAAATGAACAAACTCTGAATCCACAGTGTAGCTGGACTTCAAATACATTCTGCCAAGTGAAAGCAGCCAGACTCAAAAGATCACACGCTATATGGTTCCATGTACATGTCATGCTGAAAAAGACAAAATTATAAGGACATATAGCAGATTCATGGTTTCTGGGGGCCTGAAAGTGAGAGATAAGTTGAGCACAAATGGTTAGGAAGGAACTTTCTAGAGTTGGGACACTTGCTGTCCTACACCTTGATTGTAGCAGCAGCTACAAGATAATGTGTTGGTCAAAATTCATGGAACCATTTGTCTGCAGAGGGTGAAATTTACCCATGGCGTATTAACCTCAGTAAACTTGACCTTGAAAATGATAACCTCTTTAAGAAGAATGCTCAGACCATCCAGTGAGGAAAACAGTCTCTTCAACAAATGGTGCTGAAATAACAGGACAGCCATATGCCAGAGGTTGAAGCTCCTACCCCACACCATGTACAAACTCAACTCGAACCAATCAAGGGTCTTAATGTAAGAGCTGAAACTATAAAACTCTTAAAATAAAAGATAGGAACAACTCTTCATAACACTGGTTTGGTAACGGATTCTTAGGTACAACGCCAAAAGCATGAACAACCAAAGAGGAATAGATAACTTGGGTTTCTTCAAAATTAAAAACTCTGCTTCAAAAAATACTATCAAGAAATTAAAAAGACAACACACAGAATGAGAAAATATGCCTGTAAATCATTTTTCTGATAAAAGCCTTGTGTCTAGAATGCATAAGGGATGCGTACTACTCAAGAGTGAAAAGACAACCCAATTCAAAGATACCAAAGGATCAGAACGGACATTTCTCCATGGAAAAGACACAAAGGGCCAATAAGCACATGAAGATATACTTTCCTCTGTTCAGGGAAATGTAGATCAAAACTACAATGAGATACTGCAGCTCACCCAGTGGGAGACCCACTAGTATGCTAGAATCAGTACATCCTCTAATAACAAGTGTTCCCTCGCAGAGCATAGAGACAAATTAGAACCCTCAGGTACTGCTAGTGGGAGTTTAACATGGTGTTGCTATTT